TGGCGATGCTCAGAGTTGCAAACAGGTTCAGGTGAGGAAACCCCCACCTTTGGAAGACCCCGTGAAGTACATCCCACCTTAGCACCCACTCGTGCGCCTGGATCGAACGGCTGAGCCTGTCCACTAGCCCGTTCCTGGTTCCTGGGAGGTGAGAGGCCTCCAGGCAAATGCCATGGGCCACACACAGTTCCCATAGATCGAGGGCTTCCCGGCACAGGGGAGAAGAACACGCCCCACCCTGTTTGTTGATATAAAACATGGCCGTAGTGTTGTCTGTCAGCACCTCCACCACTCTGTTCTGTAAGTGGGGAAGGAACGCCCTGCAGGCCAACCTGACCGCCCGCAGCTCCTTGATATTTATATGGAGGTGAGCCTCCTCCTTTTGGCCACGTACCTTGTGTCCTGAGGTTGCCAGTTTACAAGCATCACACATTCTTCTTCACAATACTGTTGCCAAGTAGAAAGGTACTATTATCCACTCTTTCAAGAGAGGGGACCCAAGGCATGGACAATTCCCCAAAATCATCTGCGGCAGAACCAGGGAAAAAAATCTGGATTTCCAGATGCCAGGGCCAGATTTTTAAGGATCCTAAAATCAGTGGTGGTTAGGTGCCCAGGCACTTTTGATAATTCCACTAGACGACACTTTTTTTTTTTGAGCTTAAATACCTTGGAAAATATGTCCCCAACTCTGGTGTTTTACCTCTTTCGATTTTTAAACATAGTGGGGCAGTCTCTTTCCATTACATACATACCACCACCGGGGAGATGAGTATGCAGGTCGTAGTCTGCTCTGAAAACAAGGCCGGCCCCTCAAAGGGCAGGTCCTGAATGGTGGTCTGCACCTCGGGTGGGATGCCAGACACCTGCAGCCAGGCACTACGCCTCATAACAACCCCTGTGGCCATAGTGCGGGCTGCCGAATCAGCTGCGTCCAAGGCCGCCTGGAGAGAGGTACACGCCACTGCCTGTCCCTCTTCCGTCAGGGCCCCGAATTCCTGGCGGGATTCGGGAGGAAGCTGGCTGGCAAATTTCTGCATAGACGCCCATGTGTTAAAAGCATAACGCCCCAGCATCAGTTGCTGGTTAGCTATACACAGCTGGAGGTCCCCCGTGGCGTAGGCCTTCCGACCAAGTAGGTCCAATCTCCTAGGCTCCTTCGCCTTCGGAGTAGGACCTGGAGGCCCTTGGCGCTCCTTCTGCCCAGCGGCCTGAACCACTATGGATCCCGGAGCCGGGTGGGTAAAAAGATGCT